ATGGGAATTCCATTCCATTCAAAGCTACCAGTTGAGATGCAAACAATCCTGCAAACTCAGCTGGATTCACTAGAGCAAAATATTGCCTTTCATTTTTTTTAGTACCGTTTATGGGTAGTTTTCTTCTAAATATTATTTTTAAGGTGGAATGCTTACTTTCATCAGTTATAGATATTTTTAGAAATTTGTTTGTTGGAGTCGTGCAGCTGTTACCTAGAATAGAGACGCGTTAGAATGTGGGAAGTTATACCTGAAAATGTTGTAGGTTGAGTTGCCTTTATAATGCCCTTCATAATATATGTCTGAATGATAGTGAAAATGTTTGTGGTAAATTACTCTAAGAAACACAGTTCTTGACAATACAACTTTACTCATTATATTCCCTTTTACCATAGAAAAACAATTCTGCTGTTTCCTGCCTTTATTTATTTTCCCCAGCTTTTATATGGTTCAACCAATAATTTTTATCCATTGCTGGTAACTTGTCACATCTTTGTTAACCAACATGATTGTATTTTTAAAAAATCCTTTTGAAAACGTGTTTCTTTACAGACATTTAGCAGTCATTGTAGGTGTTATTTTCCTGTTTTTCATTCTCCACTTCTGAGATAAAATTGTCTTCTACTCTTTTCCTGAAACTATTTTTTGTCAAACTCTGTTCTCTTTCTTCTCTATTGTTTTGTATGTCACATCACATGTGGAGCATCCACTCTTGGAGATAATCTATGATATTATGAGAGAGCTTTTTTGTTGATGAAAGAGGCTATTGAAATATTTTCTGTCAAAACATAAGGAACACAAATTTGCTTTAATGAACCCTACGCTGTTTCTCAAAAGATTTTGGTCACCTGTTCTTTTTTATTTATCGACTTTGAGAAGAAGTATTGGCATGAAGATTATAGTTTTTACATATCTTTAAAAACAACTACTTTTGTCTACATATCTTTAAAAACAACTTGGAAAGTACTATTCCAAGGTATTATAGTCATGTCTGTTTTGTGACTAAGAAATTAAATGTTTATAGAGAACCAATGCAGAACCCATAGGACAGAAAGAAGGTGTTAAGCTTGTCCCTGGTTTTAGAATTTAGCTACCTAAACTCTTCAAAAAGTTTGCTATCTTTTTCAGAAATATTTAAATAATTTTGCATTCAGAACATCCAGGAATCAAGAATATGACAAGATAGGTAAGTGACTAGATTATTTACTCCATACAGCAGGTAACAGAATGAATGCTCAAATCTCTGAGTTTGATGACAAGATGTAATTGGTTCTCTCAGGATAGATTGATATAGTGACAGACAGGCATTTGATTCATGTTGGCTGATAAAGTTTAAAATGTTCAGGTGGGAAGCCAAAATATATTCCAATTGTGAAAATCTTGATTCTAAGACCCTTCGAAACTGAGGAAAAACTGTAGTGGATAGGTGACATTTTTGGACAAACAGAAAAACAAGTAATCCAAAAGAAATGAGCGTTGTCTTGAAAAGTGTGAAAGGAAAATATCTGGTGGGGTAACTTTAGTTTTTTCATTTATTTTATAATAAGCAAAACTATAGGACATTATTTCTCCTGTTCTTGGAACATCTTAATATTCCATTCTCAAATCACAGGCATATGGAGGTAGGGGGAGTAAGAGATACATAAATTATTTTCTTAATAAAATCCACAAACTTCTAGTACCTTCATTTTAATCCAAGCTCAGCACTATAATGTCAAGTATGCCTTTTCAAAAATAGTATAAAAGGACACAAAATCTTTTTTTTAAAAAAATTACAATCAGATGTAATGGTTTGATATTCAGCTTATTTACAAATAAAGAGGCTAGGCTCTTACCATCTCACCTTTCTTCAGTAATTCAAGTCTACTTGCATGGAATGCAGTTTTGTTTCCATTTATCCAAATAAAAGCAGGTCCTGCGATTTGTGAGGATTTTTACTTACAGGTAATCCCCCCCCCCCCATTTCCTTATCGTGCACTTGGAGACCTTTGTTTATTTATTTCTCTGAAACAATTCCAGGTTCAGTTATGCAGATGTCGGTGTACTATTATATTAAAAAGGGGGGGGGGAGTCATTAGATTGAAAATAGTCCAAAATTGTTACTAATTTTTATGCAAAAAGAACATTCTATCCATCAGTGCTTTCTAGATCAATGGGACGCTTGACAAAATAGAAAAAAACAAAGCATTTTCTACAGTTTATCACTGCAAACATATATTGGAATCACCTGGTGCTAGGCTATATTGGTAATATGTGATAATTTTTTATCTTTGATATATTTTTAGTAAACAAATGTTTGTTTTAATTATGGGATTGAAACATATTTTATGACCATCTGTTCATCTGCTGTAGAAAACTGCAGAATAAAATAAAATAATTAAAATTTGAACCAAATAGAAAAATGCATAAACACAATCCAGCAAAATACAGAGCTGTTAAAGTCAAACGTAGAATATTTATTTCAGGGTCTGCTTAGTCTTTTAGCGAATTATGGAACACAGTCAGAATGCCACATTAGTTGACTTGAGTAAGTCTACTAACACATTCAGAAACAAATGTTTACATTTAAATATTGTTAAGAATGTGCTTAAAATTAATATAAAACATTAATACATGCACACATTGTTTAAAAAATAATCTCATTTTTTAAAATTATGTGCACACATGAGAAAATATAGAAATATCATTTCCAGTGTTTGGGATTTAAAGAATCATGTTTCTTTTACAAATATGCTCTGAACCTATGTTTCCTGAACAGCTAAATTTAATGAGATTGAATAAGACCTGGTCTTTATTATTTATTATAATAAAGTTATCTTCTGTGGTATAATGGTAAAAGTTTTGGACTATGATTAGGAGATCTATATTCAAGTTCACAGAATCAGTCACTGAATGATTAGGAGATCTGGAAGTTCACTGTTGACTTGGCTCAGTACTCTCTCTTATTACTGCTATGAGGGGGAAAAAATCCAGAAAGAAGGCTGTGAAGGAAGGAAGGAAGGAAGGAAGGAAGGAAGGAAGGAAGGAAGGAAGGAAGGAAGGAAGGAAGGAAATTTAATAATAAATAAATAAATATTTCAGTTTGATTTGAAATGGCTTGCTGTGATAACACTGTCTTGGAAACTAACTTGAATACCTTAAGAAAGAGCTTTAAATGATCCAGAACACGAAAAAAAAAAGTTGATAGGCATTCCTTGCAGGGATGTCAAACTCACAACCCATGGGTCGGATGCATCACACGTTGGCCATGCCCACCCCCATTTTATCAAAAGGAGAAAAAAGTTGCGATACGTCACATGATGACAACATGACGCAGTGAGTTTGACACCTGTGGTCTACAAGATTATATTTATAGTGACTGAAATAAAGTTCTGGTACTAACTATTAAATTAGGTCCTGGAAAAACCTAAGCTCTTTTCTCCCATCCTAGTGTGTCCATGTCTTCGGATCTGATGGAGGAGCTTTTTTTTAAATCCCAGTTGAGAGGAATTTGAGAAAGAGTTTCAATACCCAGAGTTAAATTGTAGAACTTTTGGAGTAGGGAACTGGACTGTTAATTTAGTCTTGATTGCTATATGACAAAGATCTCCTTGCTTATCAGATATAATTTGTATCGAGATAAATAATGTCCAGTGTTTCTCTTTTGGCTGCTACTTTCACCTTTTCTTACAATTCTTTTTAGGGAGGAAGGAAATACCATTGCATTTATTAATTATTTTCCTTATTATAAAATACTCTAAATGATGCATACTTCCAGAAAGACAGAAAATACATTTTATTGGCATGTGTATATTCTTGCGCATAGATAAAAGAGATTTTTCAATCCAGCCAATATTCCATAATATCTGACACTGGGATTTTCCATTACGTGCATTTCTGACACCCCCTTTTGCCCTTCAAACTGTAGAAGGCTTATACTTATTTACACAAAATATGGATGGCCTCATTTCATTGTTCCAGTTCTTGCAACCAATATAATATACCATCCATTTGCAGTCTTAGCAGGAAACAGTCCTACCACAGGTCACAATTATATGACTTGTGGGTTCATTCCATTCTGAAAACTTTAGCAAGCATGTTGTCTCTAACAACACATCTGATGTAATATTTACAAAAGTTCAGCCTGTTCTGTTTTCTACTTATTGGAGATATGACTGTTATCAAAACATGCTATTATAGGCACCACTGACCTTGATTTTCAGATGATCATACCAAGGTGATATCTGAAAGTTAAATCAAACGTTGACCTGCATGGATACTAATTCAGTGTGCCACATCTTGCTTTTGATGCATAACTATATTAATATTTTGCATTTTCTGAGTCTTCATTAAAATGAAGATATGTTATAAACTAATTAAGGATGAATGTCAAATGTTCCTGTGAATAGTTGACTAGAAATGTACTCTGCTTCTTGTTGACTTTGTAAAACATTAATGCTTTGTAGAATACTGGATTTGTGTCTATCAAGAATTGGTAAATGGCAAGTAACAAAATTAATAAACAACAGCAAAGAAGAAAATTCATGACAGCTGGAATTTCCATAAGTCCTTCCCAGTGCAAGAACCGTATGGAACTACCAATATAAAGTTTCAGCAGAGGAAAGCCCTTGCATGTGTTGTCACTTTATGAACATTTAGAAGGTTAGTAAAACAATAGATCTCTTTTTAAGAGCTGCTCCATTCTTGGGGTAGAAATGAATATAGAAGAAAGTGTTTGGTTAAGTAGCCTGAAAGTCAAAACAAAATTCTATGAAAAAATAACCCAGGCAATTTACCAATTTCAGTTCTGCCAGCCTAATCAAACCTTGGAAAACTCAGATTCAATAATCGGTTCAACATATAATCAAACTATAAAGCTTTATTGAAATATCAAGAAAGTGTTACAGATCTAAACAGAAAACAATTCCTACTAATCCGAAGACCCTTTGCCACTCAGTTTCTTTGTCTCCACCCAAAACTATGAGATGAGTGTTTGTTAATTTTTGCCATCAAGAATCCTTTTCACTTTTAAAAATTATGGAAAACGTCAAAAGAGCTTTTGTCAGTATGGGTTATATTTATTGATACTTACTATGTTAAAAATTAAAATTGACACATTCATACAATATTTATTTATTGAATCATGCACAATATTAAATAGAATAAATATCAACGTAAATAAAATGTTTTACGTTAACTCCCATGTTTTTAACAAGTAAAACATAATAATGAAAACTCATTGTTTAAATTTTTTGCATATATCTTCAGTATCTGGCAAATAATTCTGAGCTCACAAACTCTGGAGAAGATTTTCAGGAACCTCCAAAGATTCTTAGATCACACTTTAAGAAATGCTCTGTTGCATATTTCTTCTGCAACAAGTGTCAGCTTCACTATCACACAGTGGAATGGTTTCTGATGTAGCTTGTTGAAATCATCATGAGTTTTCAAGTACTATTATTCCAATTATTGTCTTTCAGTTTATTATACTGACTCTGAAAAAAAAACCGATAATGAAAGTATGTTAATGTCCCAGTAATGGTGGATAAACTCCAATACTTATTGAGCAGTCAACTCCCAGTGGAAATTTTCTTTTTTCTTCTAAAACATTCTAGAGTATTGGGAGAATCCACACAACATGTGATGTGGGCAGCAAAGCAGGCAGAAAGTTCCTATTATTAACCTGAAAGCCTTGCACTAATTGTGCAAGATTTAAGATTAGATAAATGTCCACCCTCTTTGTTTTCCAATGAGATGCATTACAAATGAATCTACCAATTATCCCATGATTCTGAACAAGAATCTTGAGAAATGGCAACAGATGAAAGGGGAAAAGATGGGCTTGTATCCTACCAATACAACAGTAGTTTTCACCCCTTGTAAATACTCTTTAAAGAATTTTATTAAGGCTTTTTTTTATAATTCAAAAAGCAAAAATTAATATACAATAATTTTTCTATCACGGTGTAACATCACCAAAATATCCATATATATATATATATACACCAATAATCAGAGAGTAAAATTAGAAAATATTTGCAAATTCTTATATACAAATTTACATTTCCCAGACTTATAAATTACCGTAAGTATACCATCATCTATAATTATAATCCAACATTATCCTTTGTCTCTCTCCCATCGTTTCTGGATCCAATCATACCACATATTCCAACTACCATAAAAGTCTGAGTCTCTTTTACCCTTGATCAGTTTTGTAAGTCTATTGGACTCCGCACATTCCATGATTTTATATATTATTTTTGAGTCTGTTGGTAAGTCCTCATTCTTCCATTCTTGTGCGAATGCCAGTCTCCCTGCAGTGATTATGTGCAGCATCAGATACCATTTAGTCATTCCAATATTTACGGGTCTAACCCCCAATAAGAAGGTTTCCGGTTTCAGTTCCACTCTACAGTGTGTGATTTCAAGCAACCATCGTCGTATTTTCATCCAATATTTAGCTGCCAGTGGCCACGTCCACCATTGGTAGAAATAGGTTCCATTGCTATGCCCACATTTCCAGCACTGTGGAGAAGTCCTGGGGAACATTTTAACTAATCTTGCTGGAGGTAGGTGCCATCGATAAATCAACTTGTAAATATTCTCTTTATAAGAGGATGCCATAGTTAATTTTAAGTTTTTAAACCAAATCTCCTCCCATTTTTGAAAATCCAATGAATAACCCATATTTCGCCCCCAGGCAATCATGGAGTTTTTAACGACATCCTCCCCCACTTTCAATGATAATAGATAAGAATAACATTTTGATAAAACTTTCCTGTCATTACCTAATAAGATTTTATCCAATTGTAAATACTGATTTCATTCTTTGTATAGGATGGATTTTATCTTTGTGTGGATATTTTGAATTTTTACAAATTTATATGTTATTATCAAATTTATAATATTTTTGTTTTAAAAATTAAAGTTGTAGTAAAATTTTGTCAATTTTAAAATTCTTTAAGTTTTTTTCCTTTTTATTTGCTTATATAGAATACCATAATTCATCCTGTTCAGGAATAATTTTAGATTACACACTTTTATTAATTAATTTATAAGCTGCCCCAAAGATAGACAGTATGAAGCTGAGCTTGTATATTTTTTTAAAGAAAAAATTATGCACAAATAATGTACTTAATTATACAGTACCATATATGATGCCACCAACATTCAGGTGAATAGAGAAATGAAGTGCAACATATTAAAAGAGCACCTTAAATAATATACCTAGATTTTAAATGTTTTTTTCAGGATGCATTCATCTATAATAATTGTTTAACTTTACTAATATAAAGGAATCAGATAAAACTCTCATAGAATGGGTAAAATATTTTGATTCTTCTTTGGACTGACAGCCACCTCTCCAATATTTTTTTGAATTAGAAGAGGGAAATTAATTGTGAAACCAATTTGGGAGTTCTTTGGGGAAGAAATTATTTAAAATTAATAAATGTACCAAATTTCTAAGCTTTATTTATATCCGTACTGAAATTCTGTATAATGATTTTAAGATCAAAGATTATAAAATATTCAGATACTCTAAACCCCAAGAGGTGACATCATGGAGCATAAAATATAAGAGTTATGGCATCTGGATTCTCTGCGAGAAATTAAAAATTTAGTTCCATGGGAATCAAAGACAAGCATAAGATACCAGTCCTAACAAGTATCTTATTGTACTACCTTGACCACCAAGGGATTTAATCAATGCAAAGATTTGCAGCATTAAAAATAATGTTGCAAAAACTACATTTGGAAATAGGAGTGTTTCAGTATGTAGCACAAAGCCACTAAGTAATATGTTCTTCATAACATGGTATGTTTCCATAATCACTGGTGGATAATGTTTGATATGTTCACCAATGAAGGAACAACTTTCCCATAAAGAAGTATTTGCATGACTTCCGGTGGCTCCGCGTTCCCCAAATGGACGCTCCCTTCCTTAGGAGCTCCAGCCCTGTGATTTCGTTTGCCGCTAGAACAGCGAAAATCAGCTGTTCTAGCGGCTCGAAACTCTCCCCCAGGGAAAAAGGGGAAGAGAAGAGCAGAAGGGTCTGGGTAGACCTCCCCTAGACCCCCAGGCTTTTTTTTTTAAGCCTGGGCTTTGCAGGGTGAGAGCTCCCTGAAAGCCCTTCAGTGCTCTGGATCCGGGACGATTCTGCTTTATGCAGAACAATGGGTAGCGGCAGAACAATTCTAAGGATTGTGAGAAAATTTGAACCTGGACCCTGGCAGAGCAAAATCAGGAGAACCGAAAATGCAAGTACTAAACTTTAACTCTGTTGAAAAGAAAAAGAAAAAAGATGGCGCTTAAGGGCGTTTTCACTTACTAGTGAAAGTGATCGTTAAAGCTGCAACATTGTAAAGGCTACTGGATTACGTGACAAGAAAAAGATTTAGAGTGCTAGTGGAAAGAAAAGGACTATGGTATTGACCCCAACTACTTTATACCTCTAAATTTTGTGGAAAATTATTGGACTTATTGACCTGATAGCTGAATAAATTTAATGTGGAAATCAAAATATGGCTGACATTAAGGATGGAGGAACATTACTATATGAGCCAGCAAACTCACAAGTCGTCACTGTAAAGGTTTTACAAGAACTCTTAAATTTTAATACTTCTGTTATATTAGAATCAATTGAAAGAACTATTCAAAATTATAATCTGGAGAACAACAATGTTTTGCTGGCTGGAAAAGAGGAAGGAAATCAACTTATTTCGACTTTGGAGCAGGGAAAAGAAGTTGTCAGGATCACGATGGAAGTTAGCACACTGAAAACAGGTTTTGGCAGAAGCTTTTACGCAGTTAACTGAAAAGCAGCAAGTAGACTTTTTCCCGCAGACTGTTTTAAGGAAGGAAGTGACTGATTATATAAGCAGGAAGAGTCGAAATGGAGGTTTCGAATTGAAGGAGATAACTTTTAGAAGAGAACAATTTCCAAAGGTGCATCAGCCTCAAATCTATATTCAAAAATTTTTGAAAATAAAAGCAGGGGGAGGAGCAATGTTGAAAAAAGTACTATTGCAGAAGAAGGACTGGAAAAAATATAGAAAGAAAGGAAGAATTAAAGATTAGTTTCTTTTGGGGAGGATTTTAATACTAAATTTGAAAAGTTTACTGAAATTAGTATTTTTTAAATTTAAGTAAAAATGTTTAACTAAAAATGGATAGCTTTTAAAAAAATTATCAAGGTATTAAAATGGTTAACTTTAAACTTAATTGATAACTTTCTGAAAGTTTTGAAACAGATATTTTGAAGAATGAACTCAAGAGTTAGAAATAATTTAACTCAATGGATTAATAGTATTTTTAAGGTTATATTTTGAAGAATATTCTATTGAAGTGTTTTTTTTTTAAAAAAAACTTACTGAAGTATTAAAATGGTTAATTTAAAATTAAATGGATATAAAATAATATTTTTTTTAAAAAAAATATATGCTTTAAAGAAAGTTTTATAATGTTTAAATTAGAATTCTAAAAGGGGAGGCTGATGAACAATTTTTAAAAGAGGAGTTAAAGAGTGTGAGGGGTTTTTGAATCTTGTAGTAAGTTAGTATATTTTAGCTTATGTTTGTTTAATGCTGTTTTTGCTTTGGGAAGTTGGGGGTGGGGGTGGGGAAGGGAGGGTTGAAGGTTGTGTGGTGATAAAATGGTTGTCTAATTCTTAATAAAATTAAAAGATAGTTTAATAAATAAATGTATTATTAATAAATGTATTAATAGAGAAGTAAGAAAAGTGGGGGAAATGTTATAATAAAGGAAATGATAATATTAAGATATGATAAATATTGGAAGAGCAAAAAGAAGACACAAAAGATGTATTTAGAAGATATATTGACTGATTGATTATGTATTGTTTGTTTGTTTGTTTATAAAATAAAAAAACCTTTTTGAATATAAAAAAAAGAAGTATTTGCACAAAGGCAGTGTAATGGGATAATAAAATAATTAGAGCATGATTTGAGCTCACACACAAAAAAGTGGATTAACAGTTCGTTCCTATACAACTTTATTCAGAAATCTGCTTGAGTTTAGTACTTCAAAACATATGTTTATGGAATCACAGTACAAATAACCTTTCAAACTGAAAAGGTGTAGGCAATTAAGAAGAGTTTGCTGGACAGCTGTTGTGGTGAGGGAATTTTCATGTGATCTGATGTTGTACAATAAAGAAAGTAGTCAATAGTTTATAAACTACATGCAAATTCAGTAGCAGGAAGAAGTTTAGGAGGCTCTTGTTTCATGAGCCACCATTTATTCAAAAACAGCTTTGCTTCTTAAATAACTTTGAACTCCACTGATCTTTGATAAAAAGCCCATTAAGCTCTTCCAGTACTACTCAAGGCTAATGTGTGTCATAGATTAGTTTTCCTTAACGAGTATGGATTTGGATACTTAGTCTTCACATTGATCTAAATGTATCAAATACTTCATAGCAGTTCTCTAAATATTTTAAATGTACAATATTTTCAACAAGAATTGGTATTG